TCATTTGGGGGTTGGATAAAATAAAAATTAGACCCAAGGACAAGTTACACAGTTGAGGTTTGCTATGCCATCTCAGATTAGGGGTTAGGCGCTTGGGACTTCAAAAGGCAGGAAGGCAATTCACAGTGAAAAGAAAAAAGGCAAATGTTTTGTAAACAAATGTTTGCTGGACCAAACAGAAAGAGTGAGACCCAGAAAATAATTTTAATTAACAATTGGCCATGTCTACAGTCCTAGTTCAGATTGTACTGTAGTTACGTAGGGTGATAACTACCTTCCTCAAACGGGTCTGCTTACAGCTATAGACAGCATCCTTTTAGTGATTCTGAAAACAAAAGCCACAAAAGCAAAGGTTAAAGTCACAGTTCCAACATGGTGGAAGACTTTGCCTCTTCCCTGTCACACATTAATGAGTAAAGTTGGTAGCTCATCAGAATTAACTGGGGAGATGTATTAACTTTACTTTTGGCTTCTCATCATTCCTCTACTATAATTTTGAAGGCTAGCCTGAAGTCCAGTCATGTAACTTATTTTTTTTGCTTGTTAAAGATCAGCCACGTATTTATTTGTACAGATGTCAAAAAGGCCTACCTTTGAGATTAGGAGGCCCAGATTTGGTTTGGGCTTTCATTTAAGGGTATCGGTTCAGTTCAGTTGCTCAGTCGTTTCCAACTCTCTGGGACCCCATGGACTGCAGCACGCCAGGCCTCCCTGACCATCACTAACACCCAGAGTTTACACAAACTCATATCCGTTGAGTCGGTGATGCCATACAACCATCTCATCCTCTCTCATCCCCTTCTCCTGCCCTCAATCTTTCCCAGCATCAGGGTCTTTTCAAATGAGTCAGCTCTTTGCATCAGGTGGCCAAAATATTGGGAGTTTCAGCTTCAACATCAGTCCTTCCAGTGAACACCCAGGACCAATCTCCTTTAGGATGGACTGGTTGGATCTCCTTGCAGTCCAAGGGACTCTCAAGAGTCTTCTCCAACACCACAGTTATAAAGCATCAATTCTTCTGCTTTCAGCTTTCTTTATAGTCCAACTCTCACATCCATACATGACTACTGAAAAAACCATAGCCTTGACTAGACAGACCTTTGACAAAGTAGTGTCTCTGCTTTTCAATATGCTGTCTAGGTTGGTCACAACTTTCCTTCCAAGGAGTAAGCGTCTTTTAATTTCATGGCTGCAATCACCATCTGCAGTGATTTTGGAGTCCCCCAAGATAAAGTCAGCCACTGTTTCCATTGTTTCTCCATCTATTTGCCATGAAGTGATGGGACCAGATGCCATGATCTTAGTTTTCTGAATGTTGAGTTTTAAGCCAACTTTTTCACTCTCTTCTTTCACATTCATCAAGATGCTCTTTAGTCTTCACTTTCTGCCATAAGGGTGATGTCATCTGCATATCTGAGGTTATTAATATTTCTCCCAGCAATCTTGATTCCAGCTTGTGCTTCATCCAGCCCAGCGCTTCTCATGATATACTCTGCATATAAGTTAAATAAGCATGGGGACAATATACAGTCTTGACATACTCCTTTTCCTATTTGGAACCAGTCTGTTGTTCCATGTCCAGTTCTAACTGTTGTTTCCTGACCTGCATATAGGTTTCTCAAGAGGCAGGTCAGGTGGTCTGGTATTCCCATCTCTTTCAGAGTTTTCTGGTTTATTGTGATCCAGACAGTCAAAGGCTTTGGCATAGTCAATAAAGCAGAAGTAGATGTTTTTCTGGAACTCTTGCTTTTTTGATGATCCAGCGGATGTTGGCAATTTCACTTCTGGTTCTCTGCCTTTTCTGAATCCAGCTTGAACATCTAGAAGTTCACCGTTCATGTATTGCTGAAGCTTGGCTTGGAGAATGTTGAGCATTACTTTGCTAGCGTGTGAGATGAGTGCAATTGTGCGATAGTTTGAGCATTCTTTAGCATTGCCTTTCTTTGGTATTGGAGTGAAAACCGACCTTTTCCAGTCCTGTGGCCACTGTTGAATTTTCCAAATGTACTGGCATATTGAATGCAGCACTTTCACAGTATCATCTTTTAGGATTTGAAATAGCTCATCTGAAATTCCATCACCTCCACTAACTTTGTTTGTAGTGATGCTTCCTAAAGCCCACTTGACTTCACATTCCAGGATGTCTGGCTCTAGGTGAGTGATCACACCATCATGATTATCTGGGTAGTGAATATCTTTTTTGTACAGTTCTTCTGTGTATTCTTGCCACCTCTTCTTAATATCTTCTGCTTCTGTTAGGTCCATACCATTTCTGTCCTTTATTGAGCCCATCTTTGCATGAAATGTTCACTTAGTATCTCTAATTATCTTTAAGAGCTCTCTAGTCTTTCCCCTTCTATTATTTTCCTCTCTTTCTTTGCACTGATCACTGAGGAAGGCTTTCTTATCTCTCCTTGCTATTCTTTGGAACTTTGCATTCAAATGGGTATATTTTTCCTTTTCTCCTTTGCTTTTTGCTTCTTTTCTTTTCACAGCTATTTGTAAGCCCTCCTCAGACAGCCATTTTGCTTTTTTGCATTTCTTTTTCTTGGGGATGGTCTTGTTCCCTGTCTCCTGTACAATGTAACGAGCCTTCATCCATAATTCATCAGGCACTCTGTCTATCAGATCTAGTCCCTTAACTATTTCTCACTTCCACTGCATAATCATAAAGGATTTGATTTAGGTCATACCTGAACAGTCTAGTGGTTTTCCCTACTTTCTTCAATTTAAGTCTGAATTTGGCAATAAGGAGTTCATGATCTGAGCCACAGTCACCTCCCAGTCTTGTTTTTACTGACTGTATATAGTTCTGTAAAATATCAATTATTAGGAAGAAAGGAGGGAAGAAGGAGCAGGAAGATGGAAGCAAGTGAGCAGGCAAATGTTAAGAAGTTCTACACCAGGAGTTAATTTTGAAGAGGCTGAGTTTACATTGCCACCAGGATCTCATCCTTCCAGAGAGCAATTCTTAAACTGCAGCTTGAGTACAATCTTTTTTTCTTTTTTCCCCAGAAATGAGGCGAGGGGGTTACAACTAAAAACCAAGAATTGTAACTTCTAAGCTTCTGTTTCACAACTGTTTTGTGTATGCTGAGACAGGAAAGTCTTCTCATATAGCAGTCAACCGAATTTGTGTGGGATCTGGGAAAAGCTCATTTAACTTTTAAAGTTTAAAAGTGGTCTTTTTGAGAAATTCTACTTCATGTTTTTAATCTCCTTATCCAAACACACTGATGTATGTCACCTGAATATGGTGCTCATAAACCAAAGGAAAAGACTTTCCCCCACCTTTTTAATATGCAGTCAACCGCTGACTTTTCATGGCTCTTCCCCTCATCCAGCCCCACTGACTCCTTTTCCACACCCAAGGCCCTTCCTGTCAGGATTATTTTTGGAGTAGGTTTTCTTTTAAAAATTTTCCCAAGAAAAATTAGCACAGCTTCCTTTCCACCTGGGGCCCTCCTAATCTGCAAATGGGGTGACACCAGATTTGGGGGGGAGGGGAAGGGGGCAGGAAATTCAAACCATCTTCCCCCCCCTTGAGTTGGGAGTGCCACACTTTCAATCCCTTCTAGTGCCATCCCAGGAAGGTAAATTACCCAGGAAACTGGAACCCAGATATCAGGAATGCAAGAAAAATGGAAACAGCTTTACACTGACTGTTTCTATCACTAAATAATTATAATGAGAAATCAGAAAATTTCATTTCACTCATGTGCAATTTTGAGGTGCAAGTTTGAGTTAACACCCTGTAAGAGTCCGCGGCTTACTAAAGAAACGACAGTTGATTTTGCTTAGTTTCCCCAATACCAGGGTGAGTTCAAGCTCAGGGAGAAAACCCCATTGACTTACCTTCCCCGCAACCTACCCTGAAAAGGCAACCTGCCTAACGATGCCCTGAGGATCGGCACTCTGAAATCCCCCAACCACTTCCTTACCCCGGAGCAAAATTCTAATCACCATCAAAAATTTTAAGAGGTTCCGCGGAAAAGAGTTAACATTTCCAAGCATCTGGATGTTTAGTCCATGGGAAACGGGAGGATGTGCTTTTGAGGAATGTCTCTTTAATGCCAAGAAACCTTTCAAGTAACTAGCGGTTCTAGCTCCAAAATTGCTTCAACTATTAACCCCACTAGAGGTGATGCTTAAATATAGTCAGTAGGACAGAATTGCATTTACCCCGCAAGAAAACGGCAGTTACAGTCCTTCTTCGATAAAGTGGGTGGCTCTGAAAAAAGCCTTTGGATTAAGTGCCTATGCAGGCACTCATTTGGAGCTGGTGTATTTGGTAACCGCCTTCGTCCCCTCAGAGACAGCATGCTTGGCCAGCTCCCCGGGTAGCAGCAGGCGCACGGCCGTCTGGATCTCCCTGGATGTGATAGTCGAGCGCTTATTGTAATGCGCCAGGCGTGACGCCTCGCCCGCGATGCGCTCAAAAATGTCGTTCACGAAGGAATTCATGATGCCCATGGCCTTAGATGAGATGCCAGTATCTGGATGGACCTGCTTCAGAACCTTGTACACATAAATAGAGTAGCTCTCTTTACGACTGCGCTTGCGTTTTTTGCCATCTTTCTTCTGCGCCTTAGTGATAGCTTTCTTAGAACCTTTCTTAGGAGCCGGAGCAGATTTAGATGGCTCAGGCATTGTTTTTGTCTTAGAAATGTCAGGCGGTAGCCTCCACAACTGAGATAAGTAGCCTGAGTTCAAAGACTATTTATTTATAGTGCCCCAATGCAAATGAGGAATCGAGAATTCTCACTTTTGATTGGGTAAGAGCAGTACAGTTTCACTAAGGTTCTGGAGGGAGTGGTTTATGCAAATAAGGTATGCACATTTTCTCTTTCTATTGGATAGAGAATCATCGTACTTTTGACCAATAGGCAATCTTGATGCCGCATCCCTCTACCGTCTATAAAAAGGTTTTTTCCGCGCATTGGTTATCCAGCCTTTTCTCTTGTGCTCAGACGGTTTGCTGTTGAGTTTTACAAGTAAGTATGTCTGGACGTGGTAAACAAGGAGGCAAAACTCGAGCTAAAGCCAAAACTCGGTCTTCCCGGGCTGGTTTACAGTTCCCAGTTGGGCGAGTCCACCGCTTGCTCCGTAAGGGCAACTATGCGGAGCGGGTTGGAGCCGGCGCTCCGGTGTACTTGGCGGCGGTGTTGGAGTACCTAACAGCCGAGATCCTGGAACTGGCGGGCAACGCGGCCCGGGATAACAAGAAGACCCGGATCATCCCGCGTCACCTGCAGTTGGCTATTCGCAATGACGAGGAGCTCAACAAACTGCTGGGCAAAGTCACCATCGCTCAGGGCGGCGTCCTGCCCAACATCCAAGCGGTGTTGCTGCCCAAGAAGACCGAGAGTCACCACAAGGCTAAGGGGAAGTAAAACCTAGACAAAAGAAGAAACAAAGCTGCCTAAAGGCTCTTCTCAGAGCCATCCACATTTTCATAAAAAAAGCTGGTAGCCACGTTATGCTGTGTGTGGTTAACTGTTTGCAAAAGGACAAGTGACATTGAAACAAAGACCCCGGAAAAGTTCCCACATTGTTTTAGGTCATAGCTGGTGAAACCTTTGTAATCCACAAGGGTCTTTATAAAGAGAAAGGAAACGAGAGCAGTATTTAACCTTGAGGTAACAAAAACCAAAGAAATTACTCTTGCCAAGATTATTTTCTCTTACCTTTGCTTTCAAAATTTTTAAATTTTTTTCAGATTGGAGTTTTATCAGGATCTAGTGTATATATGTCGTCAATTCCACCTTTGCATGCATGTGATTTTTTAAAATCATCCACCCAGGGACCCTGGCATGTAGTTTTTTACAGAATATAAACTCGGAATTAGGGGAGATCTGATGACCAAAGTTAGAAAGTGGTAGTCCTGGTAGGTGTATATTTAAAGCTAACCTAACTGGGGGAGAAAGGACAATTGTACTCAATTTAGGATTGGACCAGAAATACTGGCAAATTTGAGAACGTGTCAATAAGAATATTAGGTTCCACTCGTATACTGAATCAAAAGTTAACATAGTGTCTAAATGGTTCGTTATGTACGTTAAAGTTGGCAATAAGATGAAACAATTTAGGAAAATTCCTTCGGATCGCCTAGATTAAAAAAAAGCATAGAAAATAGGTGTATAAGTAATTCATCCAATCAGATTCTCTCGTAATTAACCGGTCTCTTCCGGTCACTTTTTAGCCAATGATTTTATCGCGCGGTACTTTTGAAAAATTTCGAGACCAATCAGTATGCTTCCAACTATATTTAAAGGCAACTAGCTTCGCTTGTAGCAGACCTTTGGTTTGTGATCACTCGTAATGGCTCGCACTAAGCAGACGGCTCGCAAGTCCACCGGCGGCAAAGCGCCGCGCAAGCAGCTGGCCACTAAGGCGGCCCGCAAGAGTGCGCCGGCCACCGGCGGCGTGAAAAAGCCACACCGCTACCGGCCCGGCACGGTAGCTCTGCGCGAGATCCGCCGCTACCAGAAGTCCACAGAGCTGCTGATCCGCAAGCTGCCGTTCCAGCGGCTGGTGCGCGAGATCGCGCAGGACTTCAAGACCGACCTGCGCTTCCAGAGCTCGGCCGTGATGGCGCTGCAGGAGGCGTGCGAGGCCTACCTGGTGGGGCTCTTCGAGGACACCAACCTCTGTGCCATCCACGCCAAGCGCGTCACCATCATGCCCAAGGACATCCAGCTTGCCCGCCGCATCCGCGGGGAGAGGGCATAAAGTTGTCTTCTCTGTACTTAAAAAAGGCTCTTTTTAGAGCCACCCACAATTTCACCTAAAGTAACTGTAACGCTGTCGGTTAGGAATTAGAAACTACGAAAACGTAGAAAGCATAGAGGTTGAGTTAAGGTTCATAAAAGCTATTGAGTTGTCTAGAGAATTGTCACTGATAACGAAGTTTTAAGGTCTCATTTAAATATTCACTTAAAATATTGACGTATATAGGTATAATGTACCCAATGGAATAGGCCGATTGCTGAGGCCTGCAGGTGATACAACGTGACTATAAGTATAGAGTTACAAAGTAGATGAGAAAACTTAAAAAAAAAGAACCGTAGCTGGCACAAAACTCAGGAAAATGCCACATTTATTAAATAGAATACAAAACTATAATGCATTGTCTATATTTTTGACTGCCTACTCTGGTTCCATCTTTAAGGGAAAATGTTCAGCAATATTTTCTGTAGAGTATATTAAGTCAACAGTGGGAAGAGAATTCAGTATTCGCTTAAGATGATTGATCACAATTTGTTTTATCCTCTTGATAACTTAGAGAAGACTCAGCTTCAAAGCACTACAAGTAATGTCAAGTAGCGCTTTAAGGCTCGTTTTCAAATTGGATAATCCTCTGTCAAATTTTCATATGTGAGTTTTCAAATTTGGAAGAATTCTTCAAAGACTAGCTTCTACTTTATACATTTCACATCTCAATTCTCCACTATGTACTCACTCCCATTATTGTGCACACGGATAAATGACATGTAGTCCAATTTCTTACCAATAATTTAGGTGAGTTTGTCAGTGGCTCAGATGGTAAAGAATTTACCTATAATGCAGAAAACCTGGGTTCTATCCCTGGGTCAGGAAGATCCCCTGGAGAAGGGCATGGCAATCCACTCCAGTATTCTTTCCTAGAGAATCTCCAAGGACAGGAACCTGGGGGACTAAAGTCCATAGGGTAGCAAACAGTCAGACACGACTGAATGACTAACAATTTCACTTTTCACTTTTTGTCGGTGATAAGTAGTATGCCTTGAAGACATTCTTAGATCAGACTGGCTAGCATCAAGTGAACTTTATATGAACAAATCTACACATCACTTTATATATTTCATTAACCCCAAACAAAACTTAGATTCAGTAAATGTTCTCAAATCCTAAATATTCTCATCAATATCCCAACATAATCAGACAAAGGTGAATTGTAACAGAAGAGAACACTGAGTGGAAATAAAGGTTTTAACCAGCCTTAATTAAAACATGCCAACATTTAAAAGAATTTCTTTAAATGAGAGCAAGTGAACAGACTATACTCCCAGGGGCCCCTTCCAGGGCCTTGGAAATACAGAATCTGACACTTGAGTTTTCTATCTTCAGGGTAAATCTGCCTCTCAGCACTGGCTATGCTTTTCCAAATTACATATGGCCTTCCCTGCCCTCCTCCTACTACCTTACCTACCTTACCGACTACTACCATACCTCAGCAGAGTACCCTGTTGAGAATCACTGGCCTTGGATGAGTCTCAGTAATCTGGGATAGAGCACTGCTTTGCATGATGCTTTGGATGATGGTACCATTGTCAAAGAAACATACCAGGAGGAGAAACTTCATTGAGAGTATTTAAAGTCAACTCTGAGCAATGGGAACACTTTCAGTCCAGGTAAGTTCGCTGGGACAACTTTATAGGTGTTACTGATCCACTCTGTACTGAATATCACCACCTTTAGAGAGGTCCCTTTGCAAGGGGAAAAAATAAAACCATGGATTCCTTGGAAGAATCAGTCTAATAACTAACACTGATAGTTTTCCATGGATCAAGTACATGATCTAATTGACCTAAATTATTGTATATAACACTTGCTACAACACTGAAAGGCAAGTTCTCTCACTGTATCTATTTAATAGAGGAGGAAGTTATCGTTGCCAGGAAGTCTCAGCCAAACCCAAACTAAATATTTTTGATCAATAAGATAGATTATCCAGAAATGGATGATCAGACCTAGTTTCCTCCTCAACAGAAACTCTTGGAGATTGGGTTACCTCAGGATGAACAGGGAGGGCCTGCAGTGGCCTGGCTTTTGCTAAAATCTGTTATCAGATTCCTGTGGTCAGAAGCCTGGTATGAGATGCGGTGGGCAGGATGACCAGAAGAAACATCAGGTCCTAGGGATAACTGAGTGTACTTTATGATTTTTAGTCTTAGACTTCAGGACAAGGTCAGCATAATTATTTCCTTGGAAATGTCTAAATTCTACTCCAGAGTAAATATTCTCTTGTGTCTTCCTTTCAGTATTTACTATAGAGCTATATTGTTCAAAACAGTAACCATTAGCCGTTTGTGGCTATTAAGCACATGAAAACTGTGACTAGTCTAAATTGAGATGAGCTGAAGTGTAAAACACATGCCACATTTCAAAGAATTAGTATGAAAAATAGAATTAAAAAATCTAATATTTTTACCTTAGATTATTGTTGAAATAATATTTTTATTTTAGTGGGTTAAATATTATTGAAATGAATTTACTTGTTTTACTTTTTTAAAACGTGGCTACTAGAAAAATTTTTAAGACATATGTGGCTCTTACCATATTTCTGAGGAACAGCACTCTTCATGGAGGGTTATTATACTGGTTTACTGATCAGAAAGTAAATAGTTATGTCCTTAATGTGACCAAGCCTCAGTAATAATGGCACCTACCTCAAAGCACTGTGGCAAGAATGTGTTTGAAAATAAATGAAAATAAATGAAGAGTGCTCAGCAACAGTGCTTGGCATCTTGTAAATTAGTGCTCAAGACATGCCAGATATTGAGACTTCCCTGGCAGTCTTGTGGTTGACTCTGTACTCTACAGGGTCGCATGGGTTTGATTCATGGTTAGGGAACTAAGATTCCACTTGCCTTATGGCATGTCAAAAGGAGAAAAAAAAAAAAAAGCTACCTCAAAACACCATTGTTGTTACCACTGTGCCCTAAATCCCTGTTCCCTTCTGAAATTCTTTAATGATGTAATCATATCTAGTACTGGGCCTGTTTCTCTTTGGCATGGATTTGAAACACAAAGTTACCTTTTATATTTCCCCCAAGTATAGAAAATACGATACCTAGAGCATTGCCCAGAGGAAGATATTTTTTCAGCCATGAAAGCACTGAGTATGTACAGAAAAAAATAGAATAATGCTTTACAAGGAGCCTTTAATTTGTTACATTTTTAGCATAAATGATTTCATGAATTTTCAATTGTCAGTCAGCAGTTTATGCAGTATTCATGGCCATTTCTGGCTAATCAGTCATTTTGGCCAATTATTTAAGTATATCAATGCTGTTCTCAATATTCTGTAAGTGAATATTGAAAATATTAGTAATGTTAAAGTTTAGGTTTTATAAGCCAAATTGTGACAAGAGACTTTTTGTTAAACTAGCTAATTTTTAGATTCAAATGAATGGGTTTTTAGACCCCAGTCAGTCAACTATGTAAACCACTGTGAAGGAAGAGAACATAATTTAAGAACTTGGATAAAACTGAGGAAACTGTTGAAGATTATCTAAAGACTAGGTAAAATGAGAGATTTTTAGTGACTTAGTTCTCTGTAAATGAACTTTCCTTCCAGCCTTATTAGAGAATATATTTGTTTTTGATGAATATGTTTTATTTGAAAGAACGTCTTTCATTTATGCAAATATAGTTACAGGAAACGTCCAGTGTTAGGATCAACTGTATATAAACCCAATAAATTTACACCACAAAAGGGCATTCACAAGAGGTTTAAAGAAAAACAAGAGAATCAACTTTTGCAGGTCTGCAGAAGCCCCTGCCCCGGTAAACGGTCTTTTGAGAAATTCTCTACCCGGGAGAAAGGCCATGAAAATGAAAGAATCCACATACAACGCTGTTAATGAAAACAAAAGTCCTTTATTAAAAACGCCACCCCGTCCCATATAAACGTTTCAAAACTTTACCACTATACATTTTTTACTGCTTAGCGTAGAACATTTGGATTGAACAAAAAGGCGTTTAAAGCATCTACGATTTTCAGATGTTGAAGTTCCCGAAAAGGAGGATCCTTGACTGACCGGCCAGGACAAAATGGCCGACTAAAAGTTGTTTTTGATGCTGTCAATCACACATTTGCTTATAAAGTTAAAAGGTGCAAGGAACAGAAAGATCCCTGGTCCCGCTTTGCTTCTGGTGGAAAAATCACTGGCACCGCTGTAGCCTTTTTCAAATGTTCCTTTGCTGCCAGAGTAAACAGGAATTAAGGCGGCGAGGCAACGGCGTCAGTACCCACCCTTTTGCCTGGGTTGAATACCAACGCCCCCAAGTTGACTTTTGAAAACACGGAGGATTTCCGAAATACAACACAGTTCTCTATCAAGCAAATAGGGCTAACCCAACAGAAAGAAAACAAAACATTAGAAACCACGGGTGGAGGACACTCACCATCCAATTAAAAACAGGGTGAAAAACCACAGGCTGGAGGAGTGAGCCAACCGGCGAGCAAGGCGGGACTTTTGAATGAGTTTTTAGTCCAATCGGAATATCCCATAAGACTAAGAAACTGGCTGAGTTCAGCGGTGGTTGTTTTTGCTCTTCACAGGAGTGGGGCGGGGCCGGCGGAAATCCCAAGTACGCAAGTCTGCGGAAAGCGCTTTCAACTGCTGACCGGGAGATTGACAGAAGACACCGCAGGCCAAGGGGCAACCCACTGGAGTGGGTTCAAACTCTGCAACCTCACAGCAACCGCTCCCCTGCTATGCGAGTAGTGCCACCCATCTGCAACTCCCGCGCAAACCTACCCTTGAATTTAAGTCTCTCGAGACTAAGCATACACAGTCCTAAGAGTATACAGTTCTTTTTTTTGAGATCAGTGGTGGCTCTGAAAAGAGCCGTTTTGGGTTTTAGAAGCAGACGGTTAACAAC